TTCAGAATTTTTTCAGGATATTTCTGAATTTTTTCAAGTTTTTCAGAATCTTTCGAGGGGTTTTAGGATTTTTTTGAATTTTTCAGCAGAAATCATCTAATTGAAATATGTTTAACAATGGTACCCATTAGAGTAGCGCACAAAGGCCCAAACTAGGCCAATGTATGGAAACAGCATCACCCAACAGTAAATTTATCGCTGGATATTCACAGATGGCCTTGAAACTGACTTTGATCATGATCTCGATGTACAAATCAAGATCAAGACAATTTTCATTTAAGGCCATGCCTGAACGTGACAAAAAGTAGTTCAAAGTCATAGTCGAGGTTAGTTGTTATGCTGAATATTGAAGCTGGATATTTTTTACGGTGACCTTACCCAGGACGCTTACGGTCTAGATAATTTTCAGTCATAGTCATAGCAAAAGTCAAATTTAGCCAGATTTTTTTGTAATTTTCCAGAATATTTCAGAACTTTCCAGAATATTTCAGAATTTTCCAGAATTTTTCGGAATTTTTCAGAAGTTTACAGAGTTTTTCAGAATTTTCAAGATTTTTTTCAGAATGTTTCAGCAGAAATTATCTGATTGAAATATATTTAACATTGGTAGGTCAATGTATCACCCAGCAGTAAATTTATCGATGACTATTCATAGATGGCCTTGGAACTGACTTTGATCATGACCTCGTAGAAATCAATTCTTCAGAATTTTTCGGAATTTTTCTGGATTTTTCTGAATTTTCAGCAATTTTTCAGAATTTTTTAGGATTTCTCAAAAATCATCCAATCATCCAAGAAATTCTATCGAAGGATAGCTTTTTACGGTGACCTTGACCGGGAAATCTAAGGTCTAGATAATTTTCAGTTAAGGTCATAGCTAGAACTCAAATTCAGTCAGAATTTTTCTGGATTTTTAGAATTTTTCAAAGTTTTTCAGATTTTTGTAGCAGAAATTATCTGATTGAAATACGCTTAACAATGGTAGAGTGATTCCTAAACACACAAAGGCCCAAACTAGGCCAATGTATGGAGCAGTAAATTTATCGCTGGCTTTTCATAGATGGCATTGAAACTGACTTTGATCACGACCTCGATGTACAAAACAAGATCAAGAAAATTTTAACCTAAGTGCATGTTCAGTAAAAATTGCAGCTCCTGCTGACTTTGAGGCTTTATTTTTGATTTATTTTCAGAACCATCCCTGAAATTGTATCGAACGATAGTTTTTTACGGTGACTTTGAACAAGACGTTTAAGATCTGGATAATTTTCAGTTAAAGTCCTAGCTTAAAGTCAAATTGATTCAGAATTTTTTAGAATGCTACTGGATGTTTCTGGATTTTTCTGAATTTCTCAGAATTTCTCAGATTTATCGGTTTTTCAGAATTTTTCAGATATTTTCAAAAATTTTCAGAATTTTTCGGAATTTTCAGGATTTCAGAATTTTTTCAGGATATTTCTGAATTTTTTCAAGTTTTTCAGAATCTTTCGAGGGGTTTTAGGATTTTTTAGAATTTTTCAGCAGAAATCATCTAATTGAAATATGTTTAACAATGGTAGCCATTAGAGTAGCGCACAAAGGCCCAAACTAGGCCAATGTATGGAAACAGCATCACCCAACAGTAAATTTATCGCTGGATATTCACAGATGGCCTTGAAACTGACTTTGATCATGATCTCGATGTACAAATCAAGATCAAGACAATTTTCATTTAAGGCCATGCCTGAACGTGACAAAAAGTAGTTCAAAGTCATAGTCGAGGTTAGTTGTTATGCTGAATATTGAAGCTGGATATTTTTTACGGTGACCTTACCCAGGACGCTTACGGTCTAGATAATTTTCAGTCATAGTCATAGCAAAAGTCAAATTTAGCCAGATTTTTTTGTAATTTTCCAGAATATTTCAGAACTTTCCAGAATATTTCAGAATTTTCCAGAATTTTTCGGAATTTTTCAGAAGTTTACAGAGTTTTTCAGAATTTTCAAGATTTTTTTCAGAATGTTTCAGCAGAAATTATCTGATTGAAATATATTTAACATTGGTAGGTCAATGTATCACCCAGCAGTAAATTTATCGATGACTATTCATAGATGGCCTTGGAACTGACTTTGATCATGACCTCGTAGAAATCAATTCTTCAGAATTTTTCGGAATTTTTCTGGATTTTTCTGAATTTTCAGCAATTTTTCAGAATTTTTTAGGATTTCTCAAAAATCATCCAATCATCCAAGAAATTCTATCGAAGGATAGCTTTTTACGGTGACCTTGACCGGGAAATCTAAGGTCTACATAATTTTCCGTTAAGGTCATAGCTAAAAGTCAAATTCAATCAGAATTGAATGGCCTTGAAACTGACTTTGACCATGATCTCGATGTACAAATCAAGATCAAAACAATTTTAACCTTCGCCCATGTCTGAACGTGACGAAAAGTAGTATAGACCTTCAAAGTCATAGACGAGGTTAGTTTTAACGTCAGCAGGAAAAATTGAAGCTCATGCTGTCCTTGAGCCTTTATTTTTAATTTATTTTCAGAATCATCCAAGAAATTCTATCGAACGATAGTTTTTTGCGGTGACCTTGATCAGGACATTTAAGGTCCATATAACTTCAGTCAAGGTCATAGCTAAAAGTGAAACCATTCGCTCTACCCATTTGATCAAAAGTAAAGAGTTCCATTAAAGGAAATAGTGTTGACCCTTATTTGATTCGCAAGGTCGTCGTCAAGGTTAGTTTTGGGTCTTTATTTTTACTTCATCTTCGCAATATCCTCGGGACCTTTTTACGATTACCTTATTTTCTTATCTATACGTATTTTTCTTGGTCCTATACGTATTTTTATATTTGATTTGCAATTATTTTCTGCTTGTATGTTAAAATCTGTGAGAAACGATTATACAATGAAACGATATGCAGTACTAGACAAAGTTGTTTTCTTCTTTATCTCTTTTTCTATTCCTTCTCCCTGACTTTGGTATCTCGACAACCAGACCTGACACACTTACTGACTTAAGATACTTTGACCAAAAGCAAAGATCCTACAGACAATGACTGATAGAAGCTTCTGTCACTCTCGTACACATGGACATCTAAAAGGGAAAACGTCTTTGACCAGTACTGTATGCGAGGACTTCCATTTTGAAAATACACATGCCCAAAAGACACGGCAACCGGACTTACGCCTCATAAGAACTGTGGATGTTTTGTATTTTTTTTGTATTTGTAAAAGAATTATAGAATAAGGCACACGAATTTACCGTATCTTTTCGCAAATTATAGAAATACAAGGATATTATACGAACAGATCCTGGTTTTAGTAGTAGTCAGCCTTTATGTTTTTCTTACACACAGTACAGTAATACGTCCGGTGAAATAGAGAAGGAGTCCATTCATGTAGGCCATCTTTGCCGAGTCTATATTGACATTTTTACGTTTTCATTTTCTTAGAAATTGACCAACTGCGTGCTAGCAGCTCATGTTTAAGTCTTTCCTTAGGAAGGTTTGCAGTTCAGTTTGGATCTTCGTAGCGGATTTTGTAGGAGGCATTTTGAGAATTTGCTCAATGCTGGAAGTTCTGAGTTGACCTTGGAACTTGTCAAAGCTCTCTGAATATCAGTGATTTTTATTCAAATTTTGAATAAAATCGTGGAAAAGTGATTTTATTATAAGAAATAGAACCTTTTGATTCAAACATGATGCTTCTGTTCAGAGAAATCACGACAACTTTCTTGTATTTTGCTATTTCTTAACAATCTACAAATAATGGGTGAATCTAATGACCAACCAATGAGGATGCGAGAAATAATAGGACGATTCTCTTGCTATTAAATTTATGGACGTTTGTTAATGCACGGCAATCTAGAGTTTGTTTAGCTCCACATACTGAGTGATTAAATTTAGCTGTTGAAATGTGCGGATTTGCCTATATTTTGCAAGAAACTAGAATATAATATGTATTCCAACCAATTCCTCATATTTTCATAAAATCTTGAATGGTTTCGAACCAATTTCGTTGACGAACCGGAAGTGTATGAATTTGTTAAAACACAAAATCTAACAAAATTTTGCTTAAGAAGGCTTTCACATGTAAGGGTTTGGAAGTACAAACTTGCAAATGTTGTATACGAGGGTTGTTTCAAAAGTTGGGTTCCCACATTTTTTTCAGGCAAACGAAAGCGTTAGAAACCCTATTTTTGAGACAAGCCTCGTAGGATAAACTATAAATTAGTGTAATTAATAATGAAAAATGGATTTTACTCATACATCAGGCATTTTTTTGAATTTAGACTGAATCTTATATAATTCCATGATATTTAATAAACTGGTGACATTTCAAAAAACAAGCTGTCATCTCACATTTCAACAGTTTTGTTTTCGATACTTTAACAATTTTATTTGTTGCCAAAAAACTGATGGAGAAATCCTAAGGCCCAGTCCAGGATCACCTGGTGCAGGCATTCTCGATCCCAAAGACATCCAGCCTGTCCAAGGCGACAAGCGAGTATGAGGTTTTGGATGTACCAGACGCATCAACCTCGCTCATCGCGCCGAAAATCGTCAAGCGGCCTCCAGATCGCGAAAACCCACCCAGAATTGTTATTTCAGCCCACCTATTGGCTAATATGCAATGAGACAAAAAATAGTTAAATCAATTAATATTTTAATTAAGCCAATTACAAAATTTAATTAGCCATGTGACAGCCAACAAGTTTAATTAACAATGCTCATATTTCTAAAACAGTTTACTTGAATCTATGAAACTAGTTAAAACTAGTTTAATTAAATCAATACGCAATCGTTTAATTAAATTTATTAAACCGTTTACTTAGATTAAGTACACCAATTTATTTATAAGTGTTGAATTAAGGGCCGAGTCATGTCGAGTCCGCGATTCAAATAAATATGTTAACTATCTCTATCAAAACGTTCAACTGTTTTAAATATACCTTTTCTAATCAAACTAAATTACCTGAATTAATCAAACAGATTAATAAAACATGTGCCTGGTTCGCTATTTTCAAGCAAATTCGTTTAATAGTATGTTACTATCAATGAAGCTGATTCCAAAAATTCGGTTTAATTAAACCGAATAATTTAGTTACTTAAATTAATTAAAATATTCATTACGGGTAATGAACATTTTTCGAAAAAACTGTTTAATTTACCACGTCTCTCATTGTGCGATATTTGACTACTAATGTAAAATGTATTGTCAGTTCTTCATCTACCAGAACATGAAAAAATTAACGCGGTGGCCAACAAGTTTGTATTGAGAATCATCGACGACAGATCCCAACATTTGCAATAACTGCCTATCCACTCAAAATCCTCCTCCAAAACCCCCTAACAAATTCCCCAAACCTCTCCGGAACCCCCTCAAGCCGCATCGCACTCCCCTACTTCTTCCATTTCGTCGCCTCCCCTTTCGGCCTCCTCCAACCGTATCCGATGGTCCTGGTTCAACACCAGATCGGCGACGCATCCTCTGATCCCGGTGACGTAGGGCGTGCGGGCGGCTAGAAGTGAGGGCGGCATTCCGCCCACGTAAAGGCCGTCTTGCTCCGAAGAGGTGGTCAGCGCGGGCGGTGACCTCGGCCGGCGTAGTTGGACGGATTGCCGCGTGATGGCGGGACCGTCGTCGACGATCAGCAGCCCTGACGTGCCATCTCTGCGGAGTGAAAATACTAACGTTCATACTTGTTTTAAAGGTAACTACGCGACTAGATATTCAAATATACAGGGCGATTCACAAGTCGTGACGAAAAATGAAACATCATATACAGGACCGCATTAAAGGGGGTCTCTTATGTAGTATTTATTTAAAAGATACGGGGTGTTGAAGTTTGAAGATAAATATCAAAAGGATGGTAGTGGTAACGCTAACAACCATATAACACATAATTTTGACAAACTATCTCCCGAGAAACGTCAAGTTGGTATCAACATATCCTGTTCTCCACAGGTATTGAGATTTCCATGCGTAAGATCCTTATCTTGGATATAATAGGGTGCATTTCTTACATCTCATCGTAAAAATACTGTATTACCCTCTGAAAATACAAGTACTTTGATCAGGCAGAATCTTGGAAAATGGATTCCAGTCAATTTGTCTAAATATTCAGCATATTCCTTGCCTTCCCGAATAATAGTGTACATGAAACCAAAGTATTAGTTTCTGAGAAATATGCGGAGAAAGTTTGCCTGATCTGAAAAAAATGGTGAATATGCCGATTCACTTAGAACTGAATCACTACCTCCATTCAAATGAAATTATTTTCACCGAGTGTTCTATTATCTTCGTCACTGAGCACAGTTCACCATAACCTCAAATATGACGTCATAAACAGAAGTGACGTTACTTCCCTTTATTCGTATTCCATAATCACTGAAACAAATGCCACACAGAAAGGATGCCTAGAATGATAAAATACTAACCGGACAGCTTTAGCTCGATGCCACAGCCCATCAGAAACGACAGTACCATTGTGAACGACCCTGATTTCTTCTATATTGCTACTTTCTTCGTCACACGCTGAGAATCGCAGAACAAGACCTCCGTTCTCTAGACCTAACGTTGTTATCTGACGTCCTGTTATCGCCGCTGCCAAAAGGCCATCGGTGCTGCTACCGCTGTAAAAATATGATAAGCAATTCCACAGGGTGTTCTCAACTTTGAGGCTCATTCGACGTGTAGCTCTTGAAAAGTAGTGAGCAAATATTCCTTATAAAACAACCGTCAAAAACTTGACCTAGCTTTACGTAAAGAAATACGATGCATACATGCAAACTGTCGCATAGGTAAACCGAACTGTTTGTTTACAAAGCAGATTTGAAAAAAAGTTTTTTTATTGAGGTCGTTTACAGTCTGCAACTTGTATACTTGTACGATAATTAAATAAAAAAGGAGTATTTACAATTTATGGCTCTTCTTGGTAGCCAGCCTAAATCGGACGTTCAGTACCAGTGGTCGTGCATCCAAGGCGGCTAGGGTACGGTGATCAGCTAGTCTGAGGAAACCCCCAGGGGTTCCTGGGAAAGACGGCGCTGGAGGTCTTCGAGCGCACAGATGATCGCGATATCCAGGCTTACACCTAAAATGAAACAATATTAGTATCTACAGTATATTCAGATAAGAGATAGACCGGATGTAAACAAAAGGTTCGGGTGATTTTCACGCTAACGCCGCCGAAAATGCCTATGCCGAGCGGCAGAGCAGTCGTATCAAGGCAGAGTCACATTCAGGTTCAGACGTGTTACGTATGTCGTGTGCATCATTGCAATTTGATATTTCTTTGGACGTTTTCGTTTGTTATCTTATTAAGTTGTTGAGTTTGTCGTTGTTATTGTTATACCTTGTTATTGATTGTTATGGTTATCAACTGCTTGCGCAAAATGCCCAGTAGTACAGATACTGCCGATGAAGTTGTAAACTCCTGTAGTCCACCTAGGAAACGCTCTAAAAAAAGACACCTGAGTGCAGAAATGAAAGAGGTCATTTTGAATATACGTATATATAAGATCGAGCGCGAGGAGAACGAGGCATCAACCATCAAAGAAATTGTTGTGAAGGTTTCTCACAAAGTTGGGGTGTGTCGCGCATCAGTGTTTAATGTGTTAAGACAATACAAAAAAAATCACATCTTTTCTGAGCCAATGACCAGTAAACATCGCAAAAGTATTGTTAAATCATTGGATGAAGTTGATAAGCATGTGATTAGGAGGAAAGTGCATGAATTCTTCTTTAGGAATGAAATACCTACTATAGATAAAGTACTGCAGGAGGTAAATGGAGATACAACGTTGCCAAATTTCAAACGATCAACTTTCCATGCGTTACTGAAGCATTTAAATTTCAAATGGAAAAAACGGGGTCGTAATAGTTTACTACTGGATAGAGAAGAAATTGTGCTATGGAGGAGGGATTATTTAACAAAAATTGGGAAATATAGAAATCAAAACAGGAAGATTTATTACCTTGATGGAACGTGGGTAAACGCAGGACACACTACAAGTAAAGTATGGGTTGATGATTCTGTAACTTCATCCAGGAGGGCCTTTCTAGATGGACTGTCCACCGGATTAAAAAATCCAGCAGGTAAATACGAGTAATAGACAACAATCGGATGTTTTTCAAACCTTGGGAACAAAGTTCTAAACATTAATTCCAGAGGGCAGATAAAACATATTACAAGTAACAAAACTTTTATAACTTTCGATAAAATGCGTGGATGTTTTATTGTCATTTTCATTTGTTAGAACTTTTTTAAGCCATGTTTTTATGTGTTTTCGATATTTCAATAATTTTTTAATATAATCTTAAAATATGTCGAATATTATAAACTTAAAAAAAGTTACTAAGTTTTATATTGTGTACCGTTCCTAATATTTCTAATCATTTTAATTCATACTTTAAGCTTTATAAAGTTGTAATTTGTTAATATTAATATTTGCGCGTATTTCAGGTTCCTGATCATTCATTTTTTAAAGGTTTATAACTTTAAATTAAATTGTGAAGCGCTGAGTAATCATACGACGTTCAATATTCTTTCTTTCAATATGACTAAATAATCCCAATTATAGCAATCTGATACTCATGTCTCAATGTTTTTTCGCTGAATGTGATGAAAACATTTGAAAAAGGTTCGCTTATTGAAATAAATCTACACCAGTTAGTACTTCGATTTCCAGGTAAAGGGAAAAGGCTCATTATCTGCCATATTGGCAGTGAGGATGGATTTGTTGTTGACGGTCTGTGGTGCTTTGAGTCTAAGAAAACTGGAGATTACCACGAGGAAATGAATGGCGAATCGTTTGAACAGTGGTTTTCAAAAATTTTACCGAACTTAGAGGAAAACGCAGTAATTGTGTTGGATAATGCGCCTTATCATTCTCGAAGAATGGAGAAGGTCCCAACAACGGCTTCAAGGAAAGTTGATGTTCAAAATTGGCTCCGCTCGAAAAATATCAACTTTGAAGAAGCAATGCTGAAAGTACAATTATTTAGAATTGTCAAGGATCACAAGGCGGAATATCAAAAATACGCCATTGACGAAATGGCAGCAAGTCAAAATAAAACTGTGCTCCGTTTACCTCCATACCATTGCGAGCTCAATCACATTGAGCTCATATGGGCAGAGGTTAAAAATTATATAGCTAAGCACAATACAACTTTTAAATTTTGTGACCTTAAAGGACTTTTCAAAAAAGCACTAGAATTAATAACAGCGCAAAAATGGGACAACTGTATCAAGCACTTGAAAGACAAAGTTGAAAAGAGAATGTGGGAACTGGACAATATTTTAGAGGAACAAGTCGAGCCATTCATTATTGACGTTGGTGCTTCAGGCAGTAGCGATGATGAAAGCTCATCAAGCTCATTTTTCCAATAAAAGATGTCGTTCATCAAATTCGGTAAGTTATAAGTAATTATAAAGCTACTGTATTTTTTAATTAATTATTGACATTTTTGAACCCATTTTGGCAAAACCTATTCAAGAATCTACTTTCTGACAATGTTCAACCATGCACATTTTTTTACGTTTTGAACGTTTTAATTTGGTTACATATTTACCTAGAAATCAAAAAATATACTACTCACTATTCTAAAAGCAATTTTAAGAGATATACGATTATTTTTAATTTAGGCTAATTTAAACGCCATTTTGAGATTATATTCGACTGTATTTCACCAAACATCAGGCGGCATCCGAAGCTGGAAATCGAAGCGAAAATTTTGAAACCCTTATGTATATTTACATCATTATATATTTCTTACCCCACCCCCACATGATCCTATATCCATCACCAATCGTATACACATCGAATTGTGTTAATTTACTACAAAGTTACGCAAAGCAGCATCTACTATCTAAAATATGTACTGCGTGACTCTTAATACGTCCCTGCCGAATGTTACAGCGTTCGATGATCACGTGGTCTTGTTTATGTCCGGTCTATCTCTTATCTGAATATGCTGTACTGCGAAATATTTGGAAATCAAGTAAACTTTACAGCTTGAAAATTCCGTTTTTGGGATTCCTGCGGGTGTCATTCATAACTGTACTTCGCGAAAATCCGGTAGGTTAAGTATACAGCTCGTAGACACTTCCGCTGTGTCAACGAGGGATTCAGGATGCATCAGTTTCTCACATTGTTGCAAAGTCTGACCAGATTTGCGTTACCTGCAAGTGAAGTAATCCATCTGCGGTATGCATTCACCGTCTTCCCCGCAAGGTCGAGCTACGCAGGGATGCGGACAATTGTCCACGTTGGCTCCCCCAAGTGCTTCAGCTAACACAGGCATTTGGTGACCGTTGACTGCCACTTTTTGTATGCAACCAACGAATGCGCTTCTCACGGCCACCTGTGGATTAAAAAGGTGTCAGTTGACATGCAGAAACAAACTGGAGTAAAAGTTCACTTTTATGAAAGGCTACGTTTAACAGTACGGGTATCCGAAATACCTTGTTGAAGATAAGAGTTAGAAGTAACGTTTGATGCAACCAGAAGCATAGTGCGACAATACGAGGTTGAGATCCGACTCTTAAGAAACACCTTTTACAATATGAATTTATGAGTAAAAGATAAACTGAAACTGATCTGATACTTTCTACACAAGAACTGTCTGAAGTCGTGGAGCAGGGTGGTCAAGTACACCGAATTTTCATTAGCTTTTTATAGAGTGGATCATGTATTTTTCTTAAAAAACTTGGTAATTTCGGTTTTGATAGAATTTTGTGAATCTTACTTATGCAATAGATCACAGTATGTATACTATACTGGGTTAAATTCTAACACATACAGTGTAAACCCAGGAGTTCCGCAAGGTTCAGATTTAGGCCCACTACTACTTAATATGTCCATTAATGATTTGAATAATGTAATAGAAACTCTAAAACTTGTTTTTTACTGATGATATTAACGTCTGTTGTGGAATAACTGCTATAGAAGATTGTGGCAGGTTACAGGTCATATTCAACAAAGCTCATTTATGTTGTGCTAATGATCCATTGTCATTGAATGTTACAAGGTGAAAGAAATCACTTTTTCTAGGAAAAACCACCAATCCTATTTGATTACAACAATGACGGTATTTTTTTTGGAGCGTCATTTAACCATTAAAGATCTAGGAGTATTATTTGATTCGTAAATAAGCTTAATTTTATAAGCTTTTGATAGAGTAGATCGCGGTATTTTTCTTAAAAAACTTGGTAATTCCGGTTTTTCCACGGATTTCATAGAACTTTGTAAATCTTACTTATGCAATAGATCACAGTATGTATACTAAAATGGGTGTAATTCTAACACATACAGTGTAAGCTCAGGAGTTCCGCAAGGATCACACTTAGGGCCTCCACTACTTAATATGTCCATTAACGATTTGGATAATCTAACTGAAATCCGAAAATTGTTTAATGCTGATGATATTGACGTCTTTTCTGAAATAACTGCTCTAGAAGATTGAGGTAAGTTACAGGTCATGTTCAACAAAGTTCAGTTAATAATAGATGTTCATTGAATGTTAGAAAGTTTAAAGTAGTCATTTTCTCTAGGAGAAAAGCACGAATCTCATTTGATTACAACTTTGATGGAATTTTTTTTTGGAGTATTATTTAGCCACTAAAGATCTAGGAGTATTATTCGATTCATAAATAAGTTTAATTTTTGAGCTATTTTTCTTAAAAACTTGGTAATTTCGGTTTATCCACGGATTTCATAGAATTTTGTAAATCTTACTTATGCAAAAGATCACAATATGTATACAATAATGGGTGCAATGCTAACAGATACAGTGTAAACTCAGGTGTTCCGCAAGGATCAAACCTAGGTCCACTACTATTTAATATGTCCATTAATGATTTGGATAATGTGATTGAAATCTGAAAATTGTTTTATGCTGATGATATTAACGTCTTTTCTGAAATAACTACTGTAGAAGATTGAGGTAAGTTACAGGTCATGTTCAACAAGGTTCAGTCATGGTGTGTTAATAATAGATTGTCATTGAATGTTACAAAGTGTTGTCTAGGAGAAAAGCACCAATCTCATTTGATTACAACTTTGATGGTATTTTTTTGGAGCATCACTTAACCACTAAAGATCTAGGAGTATTATTCGATTCACAAACAAGTTTCATTTTTGAGCTATTTTTCCTAAAAAACTTGGTAATTTCGGTGTTTCTACGGATTTCATAGGGTTTTGTAAATCTTACTTATGCAATAGATCACAGTATGTATACTAAAATGGGTACAATGCTAACACATACAGTGTAAACTCAGGTGTTCCGCAAGGATCAAACCTAGGTCCACTACTATTTAATATGTCCATTAATGATTTGGATAATGTGATTGAAATCTGAAAATTGTTTTATGCTGATGATATTAACGTCTTTTCTGAAATAACTGCTGTAGAATATTCAGGTGAGTTACAGGTCATGTTCAACAAAGTTCAGTCATGGTGTGTTAATAATAGTTTGCCATTGAATGTTACAAAGTGCGAGGTAGTCACTTTCTCTAGGAGAAAAGCACCAATATCATTTGATTACAACTTTGATGGTATTTTTTTGAGCGTCATTTAACCACTATCTGTCTAGGAGAATTTGTTGATTCGCAAATCAGTTTCATTAATCATATTAATAACAGAATTGCTGAAGCATACAAAATGAATGGATCCATCGTTAGAAAATATCGGTCATTTAATATGTCCTTACTGATTTTCTAGATCTTTTATCGCGTATTAGATGTAATGTATCCCAGTTTAACTCTAGACAATCATTTACATTTTATTCTACTGCTGTAGGGCAAACCTAGCGTTATAATAAGATATGGCATTATAATAGCATATCGCAGCATATTGTAGCGTTTTTCTGGGTTCTTTTGGGTGTGGATTCAAACACTGGATTCCACAAAAAGAAATGCACTAATTTATTTAACTTGACTAGATAGAACATTTCTGTACACTACTATTTATGTCTGATTAATTCTTATGTCGCGCCATTAACTGAACTATACGAAACTCTGCTTCTCTCTCCCGGCCGTAGAATTATATAGTCCGCATTGTCGATTCGAGAAGATTCCGGTGAGCCAGATAGCGTCATTCCAGAATCGTCGAGGTGACTTCGTGTCGATCTAGAAGGCGACTCACTGGCATGGTCGTCAACAGATGTCGCCAAGCGGCATGTTCGGTCGCGATCCGCTTAAAAAGTTCAGCCATGAAGCTCTGGCGAGTAGGGGAGTCTGGCGCGCTCCCCAATAGATGGCGCCAACAGTAATATTCATCCTTGTTACAATATTAACATACTTAATTGTAAACTCAAGGAACTAGAGGGTTCTGCTAAGAATACGCCACAATCGTCTGTCACAAAAAGGAAATACGAATGCCTCACGCTGTCAGTAGAATGTCCTTACCTGAGGAGACACTGAGCTCCAGTTGGGAACGCCACCAAGGTACATGTTTAGTGGCAACGAGAGTTGCGTGAAAGCGCCTGGGGATAGCGCTTCTACCATAGGTTGATCATCCACGATCAGAACTGCCAATCTTCCTGTCCTGGACACTTTGATCTAAAAATAAACATAATATTTATTTGCCTAGCGCATAAAGCATACTGATGCTGTTAAACAAGACAATACATCAAATTCAGACGAGATAGAAGGAGGACTATGATTTGTTTGTCTCTAAAATCTCATTGGGCTCATTTTTAACATAGATTTTCATGAAATGTTTGAGCTGGCGTGGTAAATGACATGCTTATTGCACGCTACTTCTTTCCACCTTGACTGACTGGTGAAATTTATATAGATTCTCTTTGACACGATTTTCTGTGTGGTGTTATTTGCTGGAGCAGTAAATACTCTAAAAGCGTCAATTTTAGGATATGCTTGGACAAAATTATTTTCTCCATATTGTTTGATGAGTTATTCATCAAACACCTATCAATTCGTCAGGCGTGGGAGTTGGATAGTCATCAGCGTTGAAGTGATAGCCAGCTGAAATACGATAAAAACTCTAGCAAAAAAACCCCTTTCGGCTGCAATTTACATGAAACCTAGAGTGTTAAAGTTGAATATTTAATTTGATTACGTATTATTTGATCATTCGTATCTATACAGGGTGTTTCAGTTTATGGTTGCATAACTTTAAGATTCGATAGAACTTTTAAAAGTAATGCATAAAGCCTTTATAAACATGGTTCGAAAAATGCGTGGCTTCCGAAATGCAGGGTGTTTAAATTTACTTTCTAAAACCGTTTTTTTAAATATTTCGAACAATATTTGATGTATAACAGTGAAAATTGGTATACAAGGATTTTTTGGTACGACAAAACGAACCATGGGCATAGTTTTACTGTAGCCGCTAGGGGGCGCTCTCTACTGTACCTGTAGTGTATTAAAATGACCGAAAAATTTTTCTTAGTGCAATTTTTTGCTTTTTGAATAAAAAAACTGATTCTTCACACTTGTAAACATAAAAAAGCTCTCTTGTGAATTTTCGTTATAGCTAGCCGTTTTTGAGATATTTCGATTTTTAAGGTTCGATGCATTTTTAATTATTTATGATAAAATAACGTTAAAAAGTCAGTATCTCGATAATTTTTAGAAGTAGGCTGTGCCTGCAAATATTTTTGAAATTGAATGCAGAATAAGGTTAAACGTCAATTAGTTGACAGTTAGTTTTGTTGTCTGTTGAAACCTGAAACATTTTTTTGCAATTGTGAATGCACGAAATTTAGCTTCTTTTACCTGTTTTTTTTGTAAGTTTTATAAAAATGCCATTTTTATTCTCCAATCAAGAGTTAGCGGATATTCATTTTGTGTATGGCTTTGTAAATGGAAACGCAGCAGAAGCAGCCAGAGAATACGCACGAAGATTTCCAAACAGACGATATCCAACTCAGTATTTGTAAGAGTGCATCGCCAAATAATTGAAAATGGTTTTGGAAATCTCCAAAGGGATCAAAACATCAATGTTCGTCAGCGCAGATTTACCCGTATGATTCTGCATGAGTTTGATAGAGATCCGACCACAAGTGTTAGGAGAGTTTCTGGTGCCTTGGGAATTTCAGCAAGCCATGTTCACCGTGTTCTTAGAAATGACCATAGACGTCCTTACCATTTGCAACCTGTGCAAGGACTACAGCCAGGGGACGGAGAACGAAGAATCACATTTTGTCAGTGGATTCTTGATAGAACTGATAATAATAGGGAGTTATGCTTGATTAGACGTGAAGTGGTAAATTTTCATAATCAACATATTTGGTCGCATGAAAATCCGCATGCAGTTCGAGAAAGAAATTTTCAGCATGAATTTAGTGTGAACGTGTGGATTGGTATCTACCGTAATCGACTATTTGGACCCTACCTTTTGCCTGCAAGGTTAAATGCTGCGACCTTCTTGGAATTTTCAAAGGCTGAACATGCAAATATGTGGGATGATGTTATGTTAGATTTAAGAAGATTGGCCTGGTTCCAGCTTGATGGTTGTCCAGCTCATTATTCGAGAATAGTTAGAAACTGGCTGGACGAAAATTATCCAGAAAGATGGATCGGCCGTGGAGGACCAGTCGCCTGGCCTCCACGATCCCCTGACCTAAATCCATTAGATTTCTTTATGTGGGGATTTGTAAAAGAAAAAGTGTACCAGACTCCCTTAACCACAAGAGATATGCTAATAGACAGAATCAGGAATGCATGTGATGAAATAAGGTCTTATTTGAATAATGCTATACCACGTTCGATCATTCGTAGATGTGAATTGTGTATTGAACAATTGGGTTTACATTTCGAGCAACTACTTTAGATTTTGTATGTTTGTCCTAACTATCCAATAGCATTTTGGTTGTAAATAATTAATTTAATTTGCTAAAAATAATATTGGAAGATTAAACAAATTAATATTCTGTTTTTTGTGTTTATTTGGAGTTAGGAATTATTGGTGTGTTTAAAAACACAATCTAAACGATCATCTTAATTACTTGTAATGCCCAAATCGAAAATGTAAAAAAAAATATTATTTTCCCATAAATAATAAAAAATGCATCGAACCTTAGAAATCGAAATATCTCAAAAACGGCTAACTATAACGAAAACTCACAAGAGAGCTTTTTTATGCAGAAAAGTGCGAAGAATCAGTTTTTTTGTTCAAAAAGAAAAAATTGCACTAAGAAAATTTTTTCGGTCATTTTAATACACTACAGGTACAGTAGAGAGCGCCCTCTAGCTATACTATGCCCATGGTTCGTTTTGCCGTACCAAAAAACCCTTGTATACCAATTTTTACTGTTATACATCAAATATTGTTCGAAATATTTAAAAAAAACTATTTTAAAAAGTAAATTTAAACACCCTGTAGTTCGGAAGCCACACATTTTTCGACCCATGTTTATATAGACTTTATGCATTAATTTCAAAAGTTCTATCGAATCTTAAAGTTATGCAACAATAAACTGAAACACCCTGTATAATCATACAATGTTTAACTTTCCAGGCTGTAAACTTAATGGGTTGTGGTGGTTCGTTTCACTCACACACAAGTATTTCAATATTTCATTTTCATTTGTAAACTGCCAAATCGTTTGTTAGAAGACGCATATATGTGCCTTCACGCTACGATATTTCAACACTCTTGATTCCATACCTGATGCCATTCCCCCATCTGTACTCTTCTCCTACTTGTCGCCGCGGCAGACCCAGTACCAAGGTCGTAAGCAAACTCAACGTGGCCTTCCCTGAGGTACAGCGCCATGAAGTCTCCGCTTCCGTCCGCCCTTCGGCCATTGTAGGCCACCAGACCATCAGGAGCTGTTGGCTTCAAGGCTACCGATAGCTCCAACCATGTGAGGGCTGAATCGCCGAGGCCTCGGTACCGTAGGTGACTTGAACCGTTGAAAGAAGGTACCTGCGAAAATTGGCAATGAAATTTCAGATATTAGAGATATAAATATAGGAGTACCGCAGGGTACCATTCTGGGCCCGCCCCTATTTTCGCTATACATGAACGACCTCCCATACGACTAAAGCGATGGCAGGGTAGGGAGCCGACAAGGCCAATAGTGATAACACTGCGTTACAGCTTGGGTTACGGCTTGTAAATCAAATATTTGTTTACCTGTAAATCAACCCGGATTTCGCAGAGGTCTCCTGAAAACCCCAACGGACATAGACAAACAGCTGACGAATCGCTGGTAAGACACTTGCCTCCGTGTTGACAAGGCACTCGGCTACACCTATCTGCAGTGCACTCCTCTGAAAAATACAAATTTTTCAGATAGTTCATCCTCTTATGTCATTTTTTTTTTTGATAACCATTTATGCACAATCAACGACTTCGTACCGATTTTACAATAGGGGCATTTCACGTGAAGCGAACAACAACAACAAAAAAATGGTGTTAGACTCTCTATGCACATCTGTAATAAAGGAACTGAATGGGATATGTCAGCCTCAGTCTTCACAACATTGACAACAGCGCGATCTAGCCTACTGAGAGTACCGACTACCCAGCGTCGTGTCAACCCAGCACGGCTTTGCATATACTTGAGGAGCCCCCAAATTGTACAGAAGAACGTGCTAAATATGCAAATTTTAATTCTATGAGTTCATTTAAGTAGCATATACACCAATGTCTTAAGAGACAAGCTCAGTCAAACCTGAACCAAACCGAAGCCGGTCCTGTCCTATCCCTCGATCACGTCCACAGCGCCAGCGCCCGCGTACAGTTATTCGTCATACGACTACGATGTAAATACAGATTTTACGACAGAGCCGTGCTTGGAATTTCAATTCGACTGAATAGTGAGTACTTTTTCATTTTTTTTTACTTGTTCGCTCACGTTTCACTACACATTAGCTTTGTTATATCAAGCGTAGTTGTGCGTTTTTAGGAAAACCCTAACTTTGCGGATATCCTTGAAATACAAAATGTAATATAAATAATACATGAGTTTTTATGTTTTGTATAAATTTTGCAAATATTTAGTGATAATAATGATATAGTCACAGGACGTACTGATGTTTGATGTCTTTATGCGTGACCTAGAATCCACAACTTTAATTCAATTTTGTAAGTTTTTTTGGACTGTGTATTTTTCCACTTTGGAGGAATAATACTATACAATTTTGAGCTTTGAAAATAAAATAATTGCTGACTTAAAGTTTCATATAATCTGGGTATAGTTGCTGACGTGTTGAATCGTGTTGATTATGATCTATACTCTGTAATATATTTGTATGTTGAGTTAAATGTATGATTGTATTGTAGAGATAAAGCTGCCTGGAGTCTAAAATTTGCGATTCACTGTAATGGTTTTCCGAATTTATTTTTGTTAAACAGAATCTTTAAAAACCACTTCTGAGCAATTTTGATCTTCTTATAATATTCATGACTCCATCCCATGCCAAGATTCGACAAGAAATAAATGGGTAGATCAGTGCGTGATAGACCATGTATAGATATTCTACATTGAGGAAATTGCTGAAATCTTTAATTTTTGGAAAACAAATATACTAAGTGACATATAAATCCGAACACCCAGTTTAAATGGTGTTATTTTAATAAAATTTTGTATAAGTACTTAATGAAGCATAATAAGTAAATGATAAAAATTTCAAAATGATTGCACTGCTTTAAAGCCCTTTGACCTTTAATAATGTGTGGATGCACCCTGATGTGCTACGCATTCTCGAAAGCGCCTAGGCATGCTTCTGATCAGGTCGTCAATGTCCTCCTTTGGTATCTCATTCCAGGCAACCACCAACTCCTCTCGAAGTGCTTCTAGAGTCTGAGGAGGACGTTGCAAATTGAGCAATCTCCTACCCATCATATCCCACACGTGCTCAATTGGGGATAAGTCGGGAGATCTTGGTGGCCATGGTAACAATGTCACATCATTATGTTGAAAGAAGTCTATTGTGACTCTTGTAACATGTGGTCGGGCATTATCTTGTTGGAAAGTTGGATCTGCCAGGGTGTCAAGATAGGGTAAAAGATGGGGTTCTAGAACTTCGTGGATATAACGCTGCGCGTTCATGTTACCTCTGTTGAAGATTAAAGGTGACCTGGAACCATACGCTATAGCACCTCAAACCATAACTCCAACAGTGTGATGAACATGTCTTTCAACAAAAAACTGTGGATTCCTCCTTTCACCGCGTCGCCTTCTAACCCTGGCACGACCATCGTGCATGCCTAAACAAAATCGAGACTCGTCACTAAAGACAATACTGTTCCATTCCTGATCCCAGAGTGACCGTTGTCTGCACCACTCAAGGCGATTACGTCGGTGTTCTCGAGTTAAAGGGAGGACCCAGTGTGGCCGGTATGAAAACAAGCCAAAACTTCTCATTCGTCGGTAAACACTTCGCATGCCAATAGGTCTTCCGTGTTCTGCAAACCATTCATTTGCAATGGACCTGGTAGTGGAGAAACGGTCCCTTAAGGCCAATAGTCTTAGGCGGCGATCTTCACGGTCTGTTGTTCTACGGCGGCGTCCAGTGCCCCTTGCTCTTTGCGTACGGCCTTCTCGAAGCCATGCCTGACAACACCTAACCACAGTGTCTACACTTCTTTGCACTCTAACTGCAATTGCCCGAAAAGAAAGTCCAGCTTCCCGAAGTCCCACTATACGGCCCCTATCAAACTCACTAAGTTGACGAAATCGTACAGGTCTCCGTACTATAGGCATCGTAACCGATCGTAAAGGATGTCAAGAACCAAAATCCGCCAACGTTGATTCTTTACTGCGGCTGAAATATTCATTTTTAGAGCGTTATTGAATTAAAAAAAAAGCAGTATAAAAGCCAACTGATAAGGCTGAAAATTTTTTCACTTGTTATTTACAGTAAGATAAATACATTCACCAACTTTTATTAAAACCATTTAAACTGGGTGTTTGGATTTATACGTCACTTAGTATATCTTAATTTTTTGACAAAATTTTCAACATATATTTGAAAAATATTAGGAATTTTTCACTACAGATCTGAAATATGAATTAGCCGGTTTTACGAGCATGTATTTTTTTGGAAAGTCGTAATTTTACTAATGACAGCCCGCTAGATTATTCGATAATTTCAGTTAGCAGTATTTGTGATATTGTAAAAAGTATCCAGTCTGATATTATATACATGGATAATGATTTATCTTGTGATGCAGCTACGTTCCTGAAATTTAGATCCATATCATTCGATGAATTGAAAGAATTTATACTTTCATTTGAAAATACAACATACGGTGAAGATATTTTGAATACTAAACTTTTTAAAAATACTTTGCACTCGATTGGTCATGTAATCTTGAATTTCATCAACACTTCACTAGCTTATGGAGTTTTCCCGGATGCATCAAAAGTAAGCACAGATACGGCCATCCCTAAAGTACCAAATTCCATAGAAGCATCTGATTTTAGACCTATAAATACTTTGCCACCTCTCGAAAAACTTTTGGAAACATGTGCCCATAAACAAATTGTTAAATATTTTGAAAACAATAATGTTCTCATCGCTAAGCAATCGGGCTTCAGAAAAGGTCACTCTTGTGAAACTGCTCTTCAAATTACAGTAACTGATTGGATGAAACTTGTTGATGACAATAACTATGTAAGTGCAGTCTTCCTTGATTTCAGAAGAGCATTTGAAATAATAGATAGACGAATATTGATAGATAAATTAAAATAACGTGAAATTGGAGGGACTGTCCTGAGATGGATAATTAGTTATTTGAGTGACAGATTTCAAAGTATTAAGATTGGTTCTTCTATCTCCGAAACCATTTCTGTACGTTTTGGAGTTCCTCAGGGTCGTGTTTTGGGGCCATTATTTTTTATAATATATTTGAATGATATGGTACTTGTTCCGAGAAGTACCTCCATAAATCTATTTGCCGATGACACATTTGTGTACTCAGCCTGCAAAAACCTGAATGAGGCTGTCGATATTGTGAACCGTGACCTTGCAAATATTGATACATACCTAAAAATGAACAAATTGAAGTTGAACACTCAAAAATCAAAAGCAATGGTAATATCAAGCCGAAATAAAAACAAGAATATAATAAAAGCTGTTATCCAACTTAAAATTGGAAAGACAGTTCTTGATATAGTTGATACAATGAAATACCTTGGATTTATGTCGGATAAAAACCTAAACTTTAACAGCCATAGTGACTATATCATTAAGAAAATTTCAAAGAAACTTTATTTTTTTTTCAAGAGTTTCTAAACAGCTATCAATATTTGCAAGAATCACGGTTTACAATACAAAAATAAAACCTCATTTTCAATACTGTTCATCTTTATTATATTTTTTTAGAAAGAACAAAATAGGCACCTTACAAAAACTTCAAAATAGGGGAATGCGGATAATTTTACAGTGCTCTACGTACACACGAATTGAATATATGCTGGATACTCTACAGTGGTTATCGGTGAATCAACATCTTTATTTAACAACAATGCTATTTATTTATAAAATTGTAAAGGGAACATTACCTAATTATTTATGTGCTCATTTACGCTCAAATAATGAGATCCATTCATATAACACTAGGACGTGTACTCATTTCCATGTAAATAAAACAAATATGAAGAGTACAATGAAAACAATAATGTAAATACAATCAGTTGCCTCAGTCGGGTATTTCAAGAAAGCACTTATCAAACACATAAGATCTGACAGAATTTGTTAAATTTATTATATTTAAATATATATGTATGTACTTGTGAAATGCTGTTATTGTTGAAATTAGGATTTTTTTTCTTTTAATATGTGTGCATTGCAGTTTTATCTAAGAGATTTGAACTTTAAAAAGTGGTGTTCGAACTAAATTCGCCTGGATCTGCGCCTGTGAGTGAGTGCATCTTTAGTAGATAGTCCTTCTTGAAATTCATATGGTTGCTTAGATATTTCGCAATAAAATCTGAGAATCACTTTTAGAACGTATTCGGAAATTAGCTAATATGGAAATCGGCCTATGAACTGACGGTAGCGTCGCGTAAGAAATGCAGGATCAACCTACTTGACGCAACGTTTTATATCTCACTACAGTATATTCAGATAAGAGATAGACCGGACATAAACAAGACCATGTGATCATCGAACGCTGTAACATTCGGCAGGGACGTATTAAGAGTCACGCAGTACATATTTTAGATAGATGCTGCTTTGCGTAACTTTGTAGTAAATTAGCACAATTCGATGTGTATACGATTGGTGATGGATATAGGATCATGTGGGGGTGGGGTAAGAAA